GCATTTTCCACACGATTAGAGCATTCTGTCACCTCGGGCTTGCTTTCAATATGAAGAGAATTCAATTAAAATTATGAATTTTTTATATCTTTTACAGCTGTGCGACACCAGAGTGTCTAACTTTCACAGTGAATACATGGGTTGGCGTTATTCACTTACAACGTGCTTGTTACTACAACCATTTTTATTTTTCTCTGAATTAATTCAGGTTTACAGTTAAGCTTCTCTTTTCAAACACACACTTAGTCGCGTAATCCACTGTATGGCGAGTGACGGCAATACTGTACGATAAGGAACCTTCGCCGTAACAACCGGAAAAAGTAGAGAAGAACAATTTAGATCCATGACTGACTCGTTTCTCATTCTAGCATACGTGAAAACAGAAAAATCGTGGTTTTAGCAAAAGAGCAACAAAAAAACACATTTCTTGCTACGCAGTTTTATAGCTTTCTATGAGTGGCACACGATACAAACGGTCCTGATCTCATAAGAATAAAAAAATGCGTTTCAGCACACGCGTCTGGTTTTAAAACCATTCTCTTATAGGAGATGCGCGCGTTTTGCATGTTGAAAATGACAGAACCGCTTTTTTTATGAGTTATTACGGTAATCGCAGTTTACATACATGAAACGCGAAATATTCGAGTCTATTCCAGAACCGCGGTTCTTGAAACACGTGCGCGGTTTCGCGGTGTTGAAGTCTTCAAAATTTCTTTTCAACAAAAAGATCTCGAATTTTTTTTAACTTTTATTTCTATGTACAAAACCTGTTTCACTTTCTCTCACTTTCAAAAGATATTTTCAGCGATTTGCTTCATTTCTAACGCTTTTTTTTGTTTTGCGGAGTTTGACATCTACTGACTCGGAACGTGAAAATCTTATTCTCCAGTGTGTTTCTATCAAAACTTACTTGTTTTACAGTAATCAAATTTTTTCTAATATTCTTAATTGAAAGAGTGACACTACTGAGATTAGACTGCGTTGTTTGCAAAACATTTTCAATACTAGTTACTTCCAGAGTCAATTCATTAAGCTGAGATTCGATCGGTTCCAGTTTCTTTTGTATAAGTTTTTCAACATCTATTGAAAGAAAAATACAGATCATGTTAAACTACACTTAACCAGTTTGAAGCAAAACAACAAACGAAAATTGCAAGTCTATTTTAAGTTATTATTATCTTCTTGGCAGACGAATAATGTCATAGAATTTCTTTAACACATTTATACTCACTTTTTAAGAAATTCTCTTTCACTTGTTCATCTTCATATACTTTCGTACGTTTTGCTGTTGGCTGTGAAGTCGAAGACGTTGTTTGATTACTTGGTGTCGGCCTTTTTCTTACTGGTACACCTTGTGAATTAGATGGACGTTGAATACTTGTAAAATTATGTTGAGAGGAGGCGGCCAAAGGAGCAAAATTACTACTACTAATCTGTGAAGATAATGAAGGAGTTGACATATGTTGTGATGGATGTGGTGAAGTTGGTAAAACTTGACTGATTGGAGAAGAGTTTCGTAGTGGAACAGGACGATTTAGGACACGAGTTTGTGGCTGTGATGGGTATGATGCTGCTGGTTCCAAAAGAGGTAAATGGTGACGTGAACTTGGTTGATCTAATACATTGTTTTGTAATGGAGATAGAGCAGTCAATTGTTGTAATCGAATACCACTTGTAATGGCACTTTCAGACGTCGTCTTTGTGGAAACAGTTACTGGTTCTGGTTCTACAGCTAAAGTGCAATGACTTAACACAGTTTTCGCGTTTTTAGCATTGATTTAGTCAATTGTTTTTCGGAGTAAGAGTCAAAAACTTTCTAGCAATACGTTGAAAAACGTTTTGGGAAAAAAATTCTGACAGAAATCCAGCAGAAAAGTGCCGTTTTAGCATATGAAGTGCCCTTTTTCCGAAATTTCCTTTTTCTATTTCGTTCTACTCACCAAAAACAGATTGTAACGTAGGATTACTTTTTTTTGTTCTTTTCATTTGCTTTCGTTGCGGTTCCAGGTTTCGGACGAACTTATTTTACTGAAAAAGCAACGAGATAAAAAAAGGCTAATGAAAATGCAATTTGTGAGAACTGAGTTATCTCACCTTTTAGTTTCTGCTGTTGCTGTTGTTGCTGTTCAACGTTTTCTTTTAGAGTATCATTTCCATCATAAATAAATGTAGACGACATATTCAACAGCTTTTTCTTCTTTTCATCACACTTTTGTTTTGTACCTAAATCAAACACAAAATGCCAGTTTTTTTCGTTGTAGTTTATTACTGCTCAAAAAAATACACAGCGGCTTCAGCAGACTTAAGATTGTTTTTATTTTTGTATGACACTAAACCAGTTTCATCATCAACTAAACAATCTGATTGTGGCGCTGATTTGTATTCATCACTGGCAATTTCCAACAAAAAATATAGTGCATCTTGTCTCGAAGGTTTCCTATTTGAGTAGACAGTTGAGTGGCAAAGGTTGTAAGCGACGAAATTGTAGCTTCTGACATTAGATTCTAAAAATGAAACCATTACAAAAGGTCTAGTCTGCAACTTGACCAGCACTGTAAGTTCACTTTTCTCTCATTTTAGTGGCGTTATAAGTTACGTGCTACGAATGAGGACGAACTTAGCCATGAAAAAAGTTCGTTCTGAGTGTTTTGCTTACTGTGCAAAGTTAAACGAAAACCAACGCTTCAGAACCAACGCTTATTTTCTATTTCAAAAGAGACGATACTGATTATGCATTTATCAAGCAATTCAGCTGTAGTAATCTTAACTTTCGTACCAGTAGACAAGATCATCTCTCTCCAATTATAAACCACCACCTTGATCGTTACTATGAACTACTTGACTTTAATCAATTTTCATATGAAGTAACAGAAGTAAAGCATATTAAACAGAAGTGCATCGCGATACCATTCGAGAATAAACACTTATTCACAGAAATTGAATGTACTGTTGAACATGATTAATTTTAGTTCGTGCTCGTTTTCTTTTTTTATATTGATTTACGTTTCAAAAAATGGTATTTTTCGGTAAGAAATGACAAAAGTAAACGTCACCGTCAGTCCGTTTGCACTTTCCCGATCGGGAGACTTTCCCAATCGGGAAAGATGTTATCTCATGAACCATAAGTCGTCTGGAGTGCGGCCAAGTTTTATTCTGTTACTTAGGTAATTTTACATTTGCTCTATGTGAAAAGCTGAAGCTCCTCTTTGATCGTTGGTTACGTGCCATGCTAAAACAACTTTTTGCTGAAAAATCCCTTATTTTTATTTCCCAATCGGGAAATAAGACAGGATATTTCCTGTTCGAGAAAGATCAACTATTTCCCATTTGGGAAAGATGTATTTCCTGATCGAAAAATAATGCGATACTATGCACTGTACTCTTCTTAACGCTGTACAGTATTATTGACATTTTGTAGTGTGATTAAAACTTTAACTTTGATGAGTCATTCTAAAAACGATAGTGAAAATATCTACAGTGGCCGTCAAAATTATTCACCTACCTTGCTAATTTCTTCTATTAGGGTTATTGCTTATTGAGGCAAGCTGCTAGACCATTTTTTGATCTTATCGTGAGATAGCCCTTAGTTTTTTGTACATTTCCTGTAAAATTCCAGTTCTTATGCCTTGGTTTCGATTTTTGGCAAGTTTTCTTGTGAAATCACCGAATTTTTAACGCTAGAAAGCGTAATATGCACTTTAACTTCTGTATTATCTTGTCCCATTTTGATCTTTTCATGAATTATTTTGAGACATATATCGTTCGATAGAGCGTTGATTGTGCTACAAAGTAGATTAGTTTTTATTTTAAACGGGCGCCAGAAGTACATAGAAAGAGAGATGTTTCTAGAAGGCACTTAATGTTCAAAGCATGTGTCCGGTAAACCTCGCTTTTCTCTACTATAACTAGATCAAAATTGGCTTCCAAATATGCCATTCGAAAGAGTATCAATAACTGCATCGAATAGACTAATTTACAAGTGTTCTGAAGAGCGTCGTAGAAACAATCATTGTTAACTGTCGGATGAGAAACTTCATTATATTTTTTATTTTGAAAAGTATACACACTGGATCTAGTTATATTCAACATATTTATCACCTGAAGACTAGTCAGCAGATCTTTCTTACGCTTCTAGAACTCGATGACACGTGTTTATAATTCTGCATCCTTCCTTTTTCTTAGTCTTTTCTTTTTCTTTCTTCCATCTTTCTTTTCCTTTACTCGAACGTTTGACAAAAATGACTTTCCTGATCGGGAAACATTTTGATCCCACTTCTGTTTAACATTTCTATA